AAATCCCGATTAATTCGGGATCCCGATCGGGAATCCCGCTTAATCCCGCTTAATCCCGACAATGAAGTATCAAACATAAAATTATGTAATTTCTTTAGTTAAACACTAACTTTGATATTTAGCGGTTTCAAAATTATTCTTTGTTCATTGTTATACCATATTTATCATCATATACTTATAAAGTTTATTGTAATAATTATCGTCTCAAATTCACACTAGTACATACTTTTAGAATAAATTTTATTTGTAACTTCAATTAATTAATAGTATAATTTTTGAATAAGCTATCAAGGCTTAGTGAAACTTACTTCAAACATTTTATAAAAATCACTAAAAGAAGGATGTGTAACGTATATTATTTAAAATTCAAAACTAAGTAGACTCATTGAGAAACTTTGTGACCAATGAATATAATGCATAAATACATATTATGATTATTTAAGAAATCTTAGTCTCGATCATTTTAAAGAGTTCATCAGAACCGCAAAATTTGTAATGTTGTTGGGATCAAGAATAATCTCTATTTAGTTAGGATCCCGAATATTCATTTTCGGACAAATGCCGAATAATTTTAGAAGATTGATATTGTAAGATACTCGTAGTAAAAAATTAATCTATGTAAGGAATAAGTAATTTAAAAAGATATGAAAATATTTAGATACATATTCATTTTTTATAAATTTATATTCATTTTTTTATATTCATATATAATTATATACATGTGTGTACATATATATTTCTATATATATATATGTATTATATATATATATTATATATATATATATATATATATATATATATACATATAGTGTCGGGATGTCGGGATTTTCCCGATCCCAATTTTTTTTAAAAAAAAATCCCGGTCCCGTCCCGACTTAGTCGGGATCGGGATTGTCGGGATCGGGATTATCGGGATCGGGATCGGGAGTCGGGAGTTTTTTCCCAGCCCTAGTTTATGCTAGTGGATGAGACTTCATCATGTAGAACATACAGTCCGGAACACATCTTATCACTGCCAATCCTCTTCCCCAAGTCCAAATCCTGAAATACACAAAGATTTGAGAAAAATTTTGTCACACAATGATGTTCACGGGTAAATTTACCGATTGAAAGTAAATTACAATATAATTTAGGCACATAAAGCACATATTTGAGAGTTAGGTCCTTTGTTATTTTGATTGAACCCGAACCCTCAACTTGAGAAAGTGAGCCATCTGCAATTTTGACTGTATGATTTCCTTTGTTCGGGTGAAACTCAGAAAAAATAGATGCATCTCCAGTCATGTGATCTGAAGCTCCGGAGTCTAGAATCCAGGATTTGTTACTGCATCTATTGACAAAACAATCAACTGATTTATTACCTCCCATAGCCAACATTCCAGTATCTTGCGTAGATTTTGGTTTGGTGGAAGATTGATTCAGAAGTTTCTGAAGAGCCTCAAGTTGAGATTTAGTGAATGGAGCTGATTCAGGCACATCATTTAACTCTCTGACAGCTGAATTCGACGTGGCAACCACATTTCCGTGACTGAAACGATCACCCCCCGCCTTTGGTTTCCAATTTTGAGGCTTCCCGTGAGATTTCCAGCATGTTTCTTTGTAGTGTCCAGGTTTTCTGCAGTGGTCACACCAAGGGCGGCTTCCCTTATTTTGACGATTATCCAGATTTGCTCCCTGAGGCTGTCCACGGGCAGCAAGGGCAGAAGATTCCAGATCTGAAGATAGAATTGAGGAGCCCATCATAACCTTTTTCCTACTTTCTTCAAGGCGGACTTCAGAAAATGCTTCTTTTACCTTAGGTAGGGGCTTGGTACTCATGATTCGACCTCGAATATCATCCAGATTTCTATTGAGGCCATGAAGAAATTTGAAAGTTCTTTTTTTCTCCACAATGGAACGATACAATGTTGTATCGTCAGCACACTTCCAAGCATATTCTTCAAATAGATCCAACTGCTGCCAATAACGAGTGAGTGTTAAAGTATTGAGTGACAGAGGTATCACCTTGATGAAGATCATGTAAGGCTACCTCGATAGAAAAAAGCTCAAAAGTATTCTCAGAGCTTGAATAGGATTATTTGACATCATCCCATAATTCTTTTGCCGTAGCATATGATAGAAAGTTTTCCCCTATATCATTATTCATAGAACTTACGAGCCATGACTTAATCATATGATTATCAGACTTCCAAGTTTTGAAGAGAGGATCATCTTTCTCTGGAACTGATCTTTCACCAGTAAGATACTCTTCCTTACCTTTTCCACCAATATACATCATCACTGATTGAGACCATTGGAGATAGTTGTGTCCATTGAATTTGTGGCTGGTAATGAGAGAGATGGCTTCATTTATTTGAGGAGAGACAGAAAGAATTGATGAGGGTGTTTTAGAGGTTGCCTCTGAGATGGAGCTGTTGTTTTCGTTAGCCATGATAGACAATAGATGTGCACAAGAAGAGAAGTACATAAACCATAGGAAAGCTAGAGCTCTGATACCATGTGAAATTCTGAATATTTGTGATGTTCTCATTATCTCAGAATGGCGGGATATTTATACAACCTATTGGGGGAGAGAATCTAAGACATTAACTATACAATCTGCTAATTTAGACAATAGAATATCCTATTTCTAGAAAGAATAAAATACAGGAGATCTGGTATTAATACCAAATCAGATCTAAAGTACAACAGTAAATATTCTCTAAATCAGGAAATAAATCCACAAATACCTCTCCGACAAAACCTTGACCCACATTTTCCCATTTCTATGAAGAAGATTATCCACCACTTACCAAACAAGGCGACATTATTAAGGCGTGAGCTGCGCACACCCAACCCACCATCCGCTTTAGGGAAGGTCACACCCTTCCACGAGACTAGATTCCAGCCTCGAGAGTTCCCACCTTTAGCCCAAATGCAACTTCGAATCCTCTTATCTATATATAGTCACAAATAGAATTGGGAAGCCAAAGAGACTGCATAGCATAAAGCGGGAGTGATGAAAGGACAGACTTAGCTAAACACAACCTACCCGCTCTATTGAGAAGCTTGTGTTTCCAAGAAGCCAATCTAGTATTAACTTTGTCAATTATAGGAGCAAATCTTTCCCTTGTAACTCTACCTTTTAGGAGGGGTAAGTTCAACTAGTTACCGAAATCGCTAGCCCTGCTAATGTCCATGACATCAGAAACCACCTGCTGAGTATGATGATCAATATTATGAGAGAAGCATATCCTTGATTTCTCTAAATTAACTTTCATGGCTGACACTGTGCAGAAAGTAGCCAAGGTTTCATGTATTAAGCGGATTTGTGTTTTGTTGGCTTGGCAAAACAATATAACATCATCTGCAAAAAATAGATGCGAAATGCCAATGCCGTTTTTTGTGATTCTCAGTGGCTGCCAAGAGCCCTTCATCAACTTTGCTTTGAATTTCGATTGCTAGACGCTCCATACAAAGCACAAAGAGGTAAGGTGATAGGGGATCGCCTTGACAAAGTCTTCTTTGAGGAGTGAAGGATAGGAGTTTAGAGCCATTCCAAAGGATAGATATGCTAGCATCTTGAACTCCCCACATGATCAAGGTCACAACAGAGGGGGGAAAGCCAAATTCAAATAGAGTAGAGCTCAGGAAATCCCAACTTAGTCTATTATAAGCCTTTTCCAGATCGATCTTAAAGCAACCCATCCCTCACCCTTTTTATGAGTATGGATTGTATGCATCATCTCTTGTGCAAGGATTATATTATCCTTAGTACCTCTTCCATGGTATCATTATATGCAATAATTGAAAAAAGAAATATTCCTAAGCCTTTAGGGGATCAAACTATATTTTTTCAATAGATTCAATTCATTCAAGTATTTTTCTAGATTGAAGAGTAAAAAGGTATTTAATTTCGTTTTAAATTTTTGATTAGTTCTGAAAATTTACTCCAATTTAGTAAGTTCAAATTGGAGTATTTTTAATGGAGCTGGAATTACCCATGATGGATGACTCAATATTCACTACTTGAAGAGATAAATGATTTTTTTCTCCAAATCACCTTTTTTCTATTAACATTTTTTGTATTTACCTTTTCTATTTTTACTTTAAGGATGTTTTAATTGAAATAAATATTCAAGTCTACCTTATCTGTTTAAGCATGGTTCATTCTGGTCTGGATTGATTTGACCTGATATAATAAATGCACGTTCTTTGTGTACATTAAAAATTTAAAAACATCAAAGTCTGATCTCGTATGATCTCTGTAAAAAAGATCCACCAAAAAAAAAGAAAAATTAGTGTCGTCGCATCCGGAAAGAAAAAACAACTGCCCAAACAAAAGCATCCATAACTGACTTGACATCTCCGATCTCCAAATAAAAAAGGTTCATTCTTGGCCTATACAAAACGTATACGCAAATTTGTAGTCGTGTATTGAGATAACAAGTGATTTTACATTTTTACCTCAAACTGAGAATTGCCCGTATAATCGTGTATATTTACAACTAGGGTTGGGTCCGAAAAACCGAAAACCGAAAACCGAATCAAATCATACCGAACCGAAACCGAATGTAAAAAACCGAACCGAACCGTAGTTGTTTGGTTCGGTTTTGGTTTTTACTCTTCAAAACCGAACCGAACAGACCGAACTAATTAAAATATAAAATTTATTTGTCAATTGTTAAGCATTAATCCTAAGAAATCCTAATATCATTAATATAGTCTTTGGTTTTCTTGTGCTAGAGAAATAATGTTTGTGTTATGTTTAGTTTGGTTTATAAATTCATTTACACATTCATTGTCCGTAATAATGTAGCTATACGGAATGATGATAATATGTTTTACTAGTTATTAGTATTAATTAACTTTTATTTTTATTAACTTAAAGAATTCATATTGATGAAACAATAAATATTCATCTTAACTATATCACATAGAACGTATATAACTATATACTCATGAATTTTTTTTGAACTAGACACAAACAATGTAGATTAATAATATATACTTTTATCTCTCTCGCATACTCATATAATTCAAGACATATTTATTTATTTTCATTTTTATTTTATTTGTTGTAGTGTGCTTGCATTCTTTATGTAATACTATGTATATGTTTGATCCCTCAAAGTATTATAACAATTTTAAATCACATAAAAAAATTTTGGCAAAAAACCGAAAAAACCGAAATCAAATCGAAACAAACCGAACCAATCAAATCGTGGTTCCAAGTTTTGAAGTGTAAAACCGAACCGAACTTTTTACTTTGATTCTATATTTGGTTTTAGGTCAAAATCGAACCGCAAGAACAGAACCCACCCCTATTTACACCCTAGGAATTTTGCAACGAAAAATCCCAAAACGACAGTCGCAAAACCTAGAAAGGGAGAAAAGATGTTGCCTTATCCTGCTTTCATGCGACAGAACCCAGGGTCTACGGAGATCATCCCGGCGTCGTATCTCCTTCCCGCCCAGTGGCCAAAGCCCCATCATGAAGAGCTCCTCTTAGCCATGGAGGAGTCAGATTTCGAGGAAAAGATTAATGAGATTGGGAAGTTCAACAGCAACTTAACTGTGATCGGGAAGACCACTATAGTTGATAACGATAAAGAAGATTTTGACAATGAAGCTGAAGATGATGATGCCGACAATGGAGAAGAGTCAGAAGCTGATGAATTCGACCAAGAAACCGGTTGACTTCATTTTTTTAGGCTCATGATAAAAAAAATCATAACTTCGTTTTGCTACTTTCTTACTCTGCTGCAGTTTGAATTGATTGATATATATATATATATATATATATATATATATATATGTATGTATACATTTATATATTATCTCTTGATTTGTGCCTGTCATTGATTTTGTTCCTATACACACAAATGAGCGTGTGGGTTAGGGTTACACATATTCATGATCTGGGGCTTGATGATATAGATGGTGTTTAAGTGATGGACATTCACTTATTACCTACCCTAATCTAATATTTAATACTCCATATTTGCTATGTTTAAATGTGGGCGCCAAATTTGGTTTAGTATGATCCAGTAAGATAGAAATAACTAGGCAAATAAGTTAGCTCCTTCAACCCTCATACTTGTGAACTAGAATTGAACTATCTCGGTTAATGACCTGGAATGTTAAATAGAGATCAAGGGTCAAAGTGTTGATTTTGTGCAAAATTTCTACTTATGGGTTACTTGCATTTGTTTATCTATATAAATATAATACAATGCAAGTGCTGTACTAAATTGCTGCAAGTTTAGGAAATGATAACTAGAACAATGAAATGATAATAGCTAATTGTCCTTGAACATTTTGGTGTTTATAAGTTTTGCTACAACTGCATTCCACGTTGGACCAAAAGTGTGTAGTAGCTTAGCAAGCACTCTATTCGACGTGCTTCAGTAAAGTGCCCCGTTTGCAAGGTCTGGTTCTGCTTATCTTATATATATATATATATATATATATATATATATATATATATATATATATATATATATATATATATATAATTATAGGTCTGGGTTTTTCTAAATGGACATAGCTTTCCGCAGAGAGTATGCTTTGGGTCTATCAGAAGGACGCAGAGCAATACTGTTCCTGAATTCGGAGCACAAAAATTGCTGCAGGCATATCCATGCCAACTGGAGCAAGAAACATCAGGGAAAGATCACGAAAAAACACTTCTGGATATGTGCTAGATGCACCACACAACCTCACTTTCTTCAACAAATGAATGTTTTGCAAAAAATTGATCCTACAGCTCGAGCAGATGTGGATCTTTATGATCACCTCATTAGTGTTGCAAAGTTTTCTTTAGAATTGATGCTAAGTGTGATGCTCTTGACAACAACTTTTCTGAATCTTTTAATAATAGACTTGTAAAATCTTGGTCTAAGTCTATTATTTCTATCTCAGAATCCATTAGAGTTGCCACAATGAAACAAATTGCAAAGAAGGTAAAGTTTGGAAATGTGGCCATGTAACATTGGACCTCAAATTATGAAGAATCTAAATGCAAACATTTATGAAAACATGGGATGGAAGGTATTTGCTATATTTAGAAGTGAGCATTCCAGTATTGGATATCTGCTACTACATGTACATCTAATTTTATCAAACCAGGTTGTCTTTAATGGTCATGACACTTATGGGGTTAAACAAGGAAGACACCAGTACCATGTACGGCTAGAAGAAAGAATTTGTTCTTGCAGGGTATGGAATCCCATGCCCACATGCTGTGTGTGCTATATTTGACAAGGCCACGGATCTAGGAATTTATGTTGTGTGCGCTATATTTGACAAGGGCATGGATCCATAAACTTATGTTAATGAGTGCTACTCAAAAGACGTTTACTAGAGCATCTATTCCCTAACCTTGAACCCATGAACAGGGAGTTGTTTTGGAAAAGGACACAACAAAATGATATTGAAGCCCCAATTCTATAAAAGGACCGGAGGACATCATGAGGTAGAACAACAATGACAAGAAAAGGTAGAGTGATAATGTATTCTATCTGCAAGGTAGCAGAACATAACAAATCTAAATCCCCCCAAAAAACCCACCAAAACAGACCACAAAGAGAAGATTAAGAAGAAGAGCACCAGAAAAATTGCCAGGCCTACAAACAATAGAAGAAGGCAGAGAGGTCTTCAAAGTGAAGAACCTGGTCAGCCAAGTCAAGAAGGCGGTCTGGCTAGTCAACAAACTGAACAATCTATGCAATTGCAAAGCTAGGCCTAGGGTAAACAATCCCTTTTTGTGGACCAATTTGCATCTTAGACTCTTGGTTAGTTATTGTGAAACATGTTTTGGATAGCTTATGTTGAACGTAGTAGTATTAGTGAATTTGGTTTTGTACTTGTACCGTGAGTTATGGGTTTGTATTTATATTGTGTTTGTAAACTCTCATTTCGAGGTGTGTAATCGATTGAGATAAGTTTGACGTAAGAGTGAAGTTTTGTGGGAGTTTAAATTTTGTGGGAGGTTTTTGGTTCATGTCTTTTGATTGGTTCATTTTCTGGATTCGGTTCCTTGATAAAAATTGTAGCTCTCAAAGAGATGAATGCACAACACTTTAAAATGTCTAATTTGGTTAAGCTAATCGAAAGATAAGAAATTCACAAAACTGAAGATTTTGTAAAATGACAAGATTTCGTAAAACATATTTAGTTTGCATTTACAATATACATCTAGTTCATAAACAAGTGGGTCAAATTACCTAATCGCCGTTTTTAATAGATATTACTAATTAGAGACTCGAAGGACAAAAAAGTGAGCTAAAAGACAAATTTTCAATAATATGACTTTCTATTACACCTAGCCGTATAATTGAGAATAGATATATACAATTGACGCTACAACATATGCAGTGACTGGTGTCTTAGCTGCAGTGACTTTCAAGTTTCAATTTTAGTTACTTTCAATTTTTGGTTACTTTCAAATAGCGACCACCGTTGCCACGATTAGTGACTGCTACCGTTGCCACGATTAGTGACTGCTGACACCGTCGTCCCATGCAGTGACTGTCGCTGCCGTTCAGTCTAGTGACTGCCGTAGCCGCCCCGTCCCGTGACTGTCGCTGCCGCCCTGTCTAGTGACAGTTGTCGATGTCCCGTCCAATGACTGCGATCGCCGGTCAGGGACTGTCGCCGCCGTCCAGCCAGTGATTGCCCTTGCCGCCCCGGCTAGTCCGTCGTAGCCCCACCTTCGCCCCTCAAACAAGTCCCTGTCCACCCGCACACCACTGTCACTGCCCATTACAGTCACGCCTTCATCACCACAATGAAACCGCACCACCCTACCGCCATTGCCATCCATCATCGGGCCACCACCGCCATATCCCTGACTTGATTCCCCGGCCCCCAACCACCTCAACACCCCCCTCTGATCCCTAAGCCACCTTTTAGCCCCCAACCACCTCCCCCTCCCTATTCCCCAGCCCCACCGCCAGCTCCCCACCCCATCTCTCTAGCCCCAGTCTCATCTCCTCTGCCCCTGTCACCAAATCCCTGGACCATCACTGCCCGCCACTCCCCAGCCGCTGCTACATCGCCGTAGATCTGGAAAGAAGGAAGCGAGCAGGCTTGAGTAGAGGACGAGAAGCAGGCAGATTCAAGCTTTCTTACTTCATTTGAGGAAAGCAGGAAGAACGGAATACAACCACCGCACCCTTTGCCAGCACCGGCGACCCCAAATCGGAGTCTTCGTCCTTCAAGATGGCAGATCCGGCACCGACGGGCCCGAAACAGAATCACCGCCCATTGAGGAAGGCGGATCCAGAACTTTCGGCCTCAAAATAAAGTCTTCGTCCATGGGAGGGGCGGCCATCGAGGACAACAGAGAAGCTAGGCCTCAAATCGGAGTTTTCGTCCATGCTGCTGTCGCTGACGAAGCTGAAGGCAGAGGTTAAAATCCTACCATTCGAGAAGGTAGATTGCGCCAGAGATGGAAGTTGTAGGGTCGATTGCGAGGGAAACTGAGGTCTGTAGATAGGAGGAAGAAGGAGGAGTTGAATGGTCTAGTGCGAGTGTGTGGTTCAATCCGTTGGGAGCGAAGATGGAGAGACCCGCGTTGGGGGACATGGGATGTTCGTTGGAGATCGGGTCACATTTTTGGAAAATCTAAAATTTGTGTTTTATTTGGAAATGAAAAGTTACAGACGGGCCATTTTTCAGAAATAAATTGAAAAAGTATAATCTACTATTGAGTTTAATCTAGCTATTTTTTACTCCCTCCGTCCCCGAAAGAAGTTCTCACTTTTCTTATTTGGATGTCCCTAACTTAAGTTCTCATTTCCTTAAATGGAAAGTTATCTACATCAAAACAGTGTCAAACAGTGTCAAATAGTGCCAAACAGTGTCGAAACAGTGTCAAAACAGTAAAATTTACCCCCTGGAAAGTTTACTTGCATAAAAGTGTGTGAAAGTCAAATTTGGAACTTCTTTCGGGGACGGAGGGAGTATGTTTTATGAATTAGGGAGAAGGTTGCAGATTCTTTGACTGGTTAGACCCATCAACACGTCTTCCTTAAAAAATGATTATAACACCTCCTCCAAGAAGGAATAGTCATCCACTTGTGGATGAATAATTCTCTTGATTAGTTATCCAACTTGCATCCGTATAACCTTCTAATATAGAGAGTTCACTCTTGTAACATAAGTCGAAGCTCATTGTTATCTTTAGATATTTCAGCACTCGTCTCAAGGCTTGCGAATGAAACATACTAGGGTTACTAGTATATCCATTTAGCTTGCCTACCACAAATGCAATATCTGGTCGAGTGCTAGTCATTGCATACATCAAACACCTCATTACCCTAGCATATTCAAGCTGTGATACAGCGTTCCCACTTTTTGGAACTAATTTCCAACTAGAATCCATAGGAGTGGAAACCGGTGAGCAATCCAAACTCCCAAATCTTTTCAACACTTTCTCTAGATAGTGAGATTGTGTTAAGGTGATAGTATCACCTTGCTTAATTATCTTAATTCCAAGGATAACTTCCGTTTCACCCATATCTTTCACGGAGAAGTTTGAATAGAGGAAAACTTTTGTCTCTTTCACTTGCCTCAAATCAGTGCCAAATATGAGCATGTTGTCCACACATAAACAAATAACGTTTCCATGCTCATTAAATTTGCTATATATGCATTGTCTGATTGGTTTATTTTAAAACCATTTTTCAGCACCACCTCATCAAACCTTTGATGCCATTGTTTAGGTGCTTGTTTCAGACCATTCAAGGGCTTGACAAGTTTACAAACTTTCTTTTCTTGTCCTTTAACAACAAACCCTTCGGGTTGTTTCATACACACCTTCTCCTCCAATTTACCATTCAAGAATGCCGTTTTGACATCCATTTGGTGAATCACAAGATTGTGAATAGCCGATAAAGCAATTAACAATCTTGTGGAAGTTATTCTAGCTACCGGTGCATATGTGTCAAAGTAACCGATACCATGTTTTCGTTTAAAGCCTTGTGAAACCAATCTAGCTTTCAACTTATCAATGGTACCGTCTACTTTCATTTTCTTCTTGAAAATGCATTTACAACTGATTGGTGTGCAACCAGGCGGTAAATCACTTAGAACCCAAGTATTATTGCCCATGATTGTGAAAGAAGCATCTTGCGAATTTGTGATTTCATTGCCTCCTCAAAAGAGTTAGAATCCTCTTCAACACTATAGCAATATAGTGTTTAAGTTACAAGGGTCTCTCTTGATCCTTCAACCAAATATAATTGAAAATCGGGACCAAATGACTTTTCTTTTCTAACCCTCTTACTCCGTCTTATTTCAGGCTCATTTTCATGATCCTTTTCAAGTTCATATAAGTTTGAATTACTGGTACCCGGGATCAACATCCTTTGGCCTAAGAATAGAAGTGAACTACTTCTCATCGAAAAGAGTGTCCCTAGACTCAATAATAGTGTGGACCGCAATTGAGTCATTTGGTTCTATAACACCGAGTCATTCGGTTCAATAACATAGAATCGATATGATTTACTATGTTCAGCATATCCAATAAATATGCACTCTACCCCTTTTCACCTAACGTTTTCGTTTATGTTCCGGTAATCTCACGATTGCCCTACAACCCCATACTCTAAGATAACTTAGTTGGGGTGTTCTTTTGTGCCAAAATTCATATTGGGTAATCTTACTTTTCTTGTTAGGAACTGGATTGAGAATATAACAAGCAGTTAACATAACATCACCCCAAAATCCATTACTTAAGCCTGAGTTAGACAACATGGAATTAACCATTTCTTTTAAAGTTCTATTCTTTCTTTCACCAATGCCATTTTGTTGCGGCGTGTAAGGGGCTGTTGTTTCATGGATTATTCCAACGGATTCGAAAACATTAGGCTCATAATATTCTTCTTCTTTGTCCGTTCTAAGCCTTTTTACTTTCTTTCCGGTTTGTAACTCAACTTCCGTTTTAAGAACTTTGAATTTATCCATTGTCTCATCTTTTGAAAATAAAAGATATACTCCCTCCGTCCCGCTATGATTGTCCCATTTTACCTGTTCAGTCCGTCCCACTAAGATTGTCTCATACCTTATTTGGTAAAGTTTGCATGGTTCTAAATCATTCTTACTTTATTCTTACTTTATCAATTCAATATCAACCACATAAACCCACTTTTATTAATAACTGTGTCACCTTCTTTTGTCCCAAACTTAGGGGGACTGAGGTAGTATATAACAATATCTTGTGCAATCATCAATAAATGTGACTACATATTTTCTTTATTTCCAAAAGAAGAAGTGCTATGAAAATCACACAAATCACTATGCACTAATTCAAGCATGTTGGGTTTTCTCTCAACATTTTGAAAAGAATTTCTAGTGATTTTGTTTAACATGCAAGTTTTACACTTTTCTATGTTAACATTAAAAGAAGGAATCAAACCTACTTTAGACATGTCACTTAGTCTATGATAATTAACATGACATAACATATTGTGCCACAAAGAAGAATCACAAATCATATAAACAGAATTAACAACTTTATTTACAACACTTAGTTTGAACATGCCATTACAATAGAAACCTTGGCCTACAAATACACCACCTTTAGATAAAATAAACTTATTTGCTTCAAAGCTAAGTTTAATCCCAAAGTTATTTAGGATGCCACCGGAGACAAGATTTTCCAGATTTATGGTACAAAGTACACATCATTAAGAATTAATTTCTTTCTGGGAGTTAATTCCAACTCTACTTACCCAATTCCTTGAATTTGCACAGTAGAATCATTTCTCATGTATAAGATCGGCCTCTCTTGCAACTCTTTTAAAGCCTTAAAAGCTTGCCTATCTTTACATACATGCCTTGTTGCTCAAGTGTCGATCAACCAAGATTCATCATCCTGCACAACACAAATTTCAGAAAGCATAGCTACAAAAATCATGTTGTTATCAACATCATTTGTAACTACAAAAAGATTCTGACCTTGGTGGTCTTGG